AAAAACTAAAAGTGGTCTAAGTTACCCCACCAGTCTAAGTAACCCCATTTTACGGTACCGTAAAATGGGGTTACTTTGACCGGCAGGGTAACTTTGACCACTTTTCGTTTTTTTAACAAAAACCCCCAAACGGTTTGACATAGAAAAATTTTGTCAATGGCCATCAAAGCCCGGTACTGAGGCTACATAACACAGTAGAAAGATTTAAAAAGTTTGCATATTTAATAGGTTAAAAAATTAATAATGTGACCCACGAAAAAGAGCTATTATCTAAAGCCTGTTGGAGTACACCCTAAAATTTTTTCATTTCTTGGTAAAATATCTCCAGGTTTTGATGCATTGTAGCAGAACTCTTCTAGTTACATATGCAAAAGACAAATTTTAGGAAAGTGTCATAGTTTGCAAATGGGGGGCGCCGCCCCCAAATGGGGTAACTTCTGTCTCTTATACACATCTAGATGTGTATAAGAGACAGACTCATATCTGAAAGAATAGTAACAAGGGTGCTTCACACAAGCTGTCTCTTATACACATCTAGATGTGTATAAGAGACAGAGCACTCACTCCATGCAATATTATTTATCAGCACGCACTCCATGCAATATTATTTATTAGCACTCACTCCATGCAATATTATTTATCAGCACGCACTCCATGCAATATTATTTATCAGCACTCACTCCATGCAATATTATTTATTAGCACTCACTCCATGCAATATTATTTATCAGCACGCACTCCATGCAATATTATTTATTAGCACTCACTCCATGCAATATCATTTATTAGCAAGCACTCCATGCACAGGAAGTGCACAGATTCCACCTTCAATAGCTAAATTCATTTCGAAGAAATGTACAATCAACGAGTAGAGTTTGGGTTCTGGAAACAATAACTGAAACCAACCAAAAGATTTGAAACCAATGTGAAATTATGTTATAGAGTTCAACACAATGGATATTCCTGCCACTGAATAAATCATCTCTATTAGCTACGAGCAGAGATCAGCCTCTTCACCGAACCGCTTCATGGTAACGCTAAACATGCAAACGCGATTCATTTAGAATCATGAAGACTTTGAATTATGATTTGATTTATTTTTCTTGCTAACTACATTTTCCTCATCTAAAATTTCTCACGTAAGCAGGAGAAGCTAACATTCATTTCATAATTGATCACATTAATTTAGGCAAAACTACCCAAATCTTCTTAATTATAAACATTTACATTTATTAGTGTAGTTAGGCAGAAGTTCTTCATTTATGCAGGTTTAATTGAAGACCAGAGCATGCTTTTTATCAACAATTTTCTTATTGTTTTTAATAGCCTAAAAAATTTTCTGCTGGTGTTGGGAGATTGAGAAGCAGGTTACCAAATTACATTTTACTGGAATACGACGTTTCCAATATTAAATATTTATTCCCAAGTAGGTGAAGCGTTTTACAACATGGAATAATTACAAGTGTTGTAAAACTCTTCACCTACTTGAAACTGAATATTGAATATTGGAAACGTTGTATTCCAGTAAAATGTCATTTGGCAACATGCTTTTCGATCTCCCAACACCAGCAAGAAATTTTTTTTGGCTTATTGATAAAAAAAGAAAATTGTTAATAAAAACAGGGTGCGTACCGGTATTTAGAAAAAAAATTCCATGACTTTCCATGACCTGGTTCTAGTAATCCTCGAATGTTAACTGAAAAGAGAGGAGTCGGCGCAGCAGAACCAAATGTTGCCATAACATGTACATGATGTGTTTCAAACCTACGCATCCACTTATATATTTATTTGATCTTACAATTTTATTATGAATCCATTTTTTCCCGCTGGTTCTAAATGGAACTTGGCATTTGATTAACACACGCAGCATTGAAAAACACTTCCTTTTTTCTTCATTTATTTGCAAATTACATGATTTTCCGTAATCTGGAATAAAATCCCATGACTTTCCAGGTCTGGAAAATGAAAAACAAATTACATGCCTTTCCATGTTTTCCATGACTGATACGCACCCTGTAAAAAGCATGCTCTGGTCTTCAATCAAACCTGCATGAACATTCACGTTTACATATAAAGATGTGAAGAGTCAGTCTCGCTCGGCACGACCCGCCGGTAAAGAGTTAAGCAATATAATGAATGTTCAGTAAACAATAAATATCTTGCAGAAAGAAGCGTGAGGTGACCTCTTGATATGGTCGAGCTGCGTGAGCAGAGCGTTGACAACCCTCACGGCGTCGCCAGGCTCGCTCGCCGCCGACTCTGAGAGTTCCTGGAGGTCCATGCAACAGCACAACTCTGTTCCAGGAGATGATGTTTGGGTTGATGCCACAGTCCGAGAACATCAGAGCGGTGCTCACATAACTCAAAAGCTGCGGAAGGTGACAACAATCAGGACAACAATCTTAAAATCCTGAAATATTTCTCTTCAATTATTTGAGCGCTAACTGCTAATTTTCTCATCAATTTGTTCAAGTAGTTTTTCTTCAGAAGAATCGATCTTGGACTCTAAGAATTTCAAACCTAAATCAGGATTAGGAAACTCAACCTGCGAGTCTGCATTCAGGGCTGTAAAAATTGAAATTAAAGTGGAATGTTCATTTCGAAAAGTTTTAATTTAACTTTTCAAAGACTCTAAGGGAAATGCCTTAATTGGACACATTATTTCTTCCTTACTATTTTTGCAAGTTGATGAAAGATTGTGGAGAAACCTAGTTAGTGACACAAGCAGGTGACATAAAGGTCCCATATGACTTATATCCTCAATAAGCCTTGGCATTAGATACAGTCCTGCAGGCTGATTCATCACCTGAACACTCACTGAACACTTGTGAATGTAGCTCTGATGCAGTTGTTGCGTGCCTACTTGAAGTTACAATGCTCACCTTTGAACATTACCCCCCCGCTGAGCCGGACCGGGCGATGCTCTTGCAAACGCATAAGTACTCACAATAATTCCCTGCCACCATGGTGGTCATTATTTTCTTCATTAAGCTAGGTACTTGAAATTTAATCTAATTTTTTTTATATAGGTATGACAATGCTGCTTAGTGTCTAGTGACAAACCAGAGATTTTTTAGAATCCGTTCATTTTTAATTTCTGCATTTACTCAAGATTTAGGTAAACCAATTTCTTATGAATGATAAGTCTGGTAGCTAATTCACTATTCATGATAGCTACCTAGGTACTTTACAGTTTACTGGTCTACTAGCTAATAATAGGACTCACAAATGAACTTGATGGAGAATCTAAAAAAATCTCTGCTTTGCCACTATGCTGAAATGCTGGAATGAGTATGACTATATGAGACTTGAGAGTGCAGAGTGGTATCCATGATAGGGTAAACGCGGTATATTCCGACACATTAAGGACGCATCGAGAAATGAAAAACTAAAAAAAAAAACCGTATGCATTACGTAAGTTCTGTTGCCTTCACATGACTCTCAAAACACTTCACTACGTGTCGGTGTCAGCAACGATGAAACGTCATAAAATGTTGCCATATTTATTAAAAAGCCTTTAGAATGGAAACCTACCAAATCCCTATATTCTGTCACTTTAGTGCACAACAGAACTCATAGACCAGGTTTGATCGCATCCGAGCAGGAATAACGTCCTTATACCTGAAGAAAGAACCAATTTTGAAATTATTTACACGTAGAACATGCAAATTTATATTTGGGAAATATTTCAAACACAGCATTTTTAATTCTTTGGACATAGTTTCAGACGCACTACCAATAATATACGTTTAAAAATTACTTTTTAAAGACAACACTTCCAAAGAATCCAGTATCTCCAATCTCACAGATGTACAATGAATTTCTCATTTAATTTTCGAATATTAAAAAAATTAATTTTTCAATTTTTTTAATATATAAATTTTTTTAATATATAATTTTTTTCAAAATTATTTATTTTATTAATTGATTCATGCATTGCCTCTGATTTCACACAAGTGTGCAAAATTTCAGATCAATTAGACAGGTAAAAGNATTTATTTAAAAGCCTTTAGAATGCAAACCTACCAAATCCATATATTCCGACGCTGTGTGTGACTATATTTGGCATTTTGTGAGACTAATTCCGGCCGAGCTTCAAACTCTACTACCTAATTCATAATTTCGACCCTCTTGTGTTCGATTCTGATCGCTGTGTGAGCTGTATTGGAATACGACACAGCTCGGAATTAGAACACTTTTGAATATTGAACACTACTTAATTAGGCTTTTAATTAAGAGCTATTGAGCTTTTAATTAAGAAAATTTTAATTTTTGCACACAGCTCGGAGCGAGCTGTGTGTGTCTAATTCCAAGCTGTGTTGGAATTAGTTTTTATGTGTCTAAAACCGTCTTTTAACTTAATCATCTATTAATTTATTTACCACTTGAAATCTGCAATTACAAGTATAGGTACTCAAAGGATTCCTAATATATTCAGACTTATTTAAAAGTCTCAAACCATAATATTCTTTCTACACAAACAGTCAAATAAATTATTTAAATTAAATGAAAATAAAATATACATTTTCAGTGTCTTCTTAAGGCAATTAACTCATTTCACATAACTAAAGGCTAAAGCTAAGAAAATATCACTTTTAAATGCAATTTTGCTGCATTTATGTATGTGATAATATTATTGAAACTACAAAAATTTTTATTTTAAACTTACTCTCAAGTTCTGTTGTTGAGATATCTATTGTGTTTTCAGCAAGTTGTAACCTTGACTGTCTTTCAAGCAAACTAATTTAAAATTAAGATGGAATCATAAACAGGTAGATTCTGTTCAATGATGAAATAGAGTTATATTTTCTTTTCAGTGACTCACCTATAGCTCTCTTGTCTTTTGCCTTTTTCAGAAAATGATTAGATTGTCAAGTTTCAACTTGAAATTCATTGTCAAATATGTAAACTTGTAATGATGGTTGTAAATAAACAACAGTTTATTGACCAACCAAGTCATATGTATTGTTTAAACCCCCATTTCATTTTTTTTTTTTCAGACACAAGCCATTCCAATAGCCAGGCTATTCAGCAGTTCCAGGCATCAGAGCATTAAGCATAGCACGAACTCCAAGCCTGAGTCAAAAGATACCAAATCCTGGTCTTGGAAGCAGCCCATCACATGGAGGTCCCTAGCTATCACTTCAGCTATAGGCCTTGCTTCACTTACTTTCATGTTCTATCTAAAACGTGAAAAGGAAATAGGTGCGGTAGTATGCAAAATTTTCTTGAAGGGTTATCTACTATTCTTTGTGCTTCTATCTTGCATTGATCAATATCAATACATTTTATCTACCAGCATCTAATTTATAATATGTAGTTATGTACTACCTCATAAGTCATAAGTGATGCTCTGCTTATATGTATTTAATGTAAGCTCTAATATTTTAGGTGATAATATTTAAAACCTATATCAGTTGCTAAATGCTAATCCTTTAAAGTAAATATTGTTTATATAGTTTGACATTATTATCAGCTCTGGAGAAAGAAAGACGGCGCGTGTTGGGCAAGGCTCGCATAGGAGGTCGTTTTGAGCTAATTGATCACAACGGCAAGACCGTGAAGAGTGAAGACTTCCTCGGCCAGTGGTTGCTCATATACTTTGGCTTCACCCACTGCCCTGATGTCTGTCCTGATGAGCTAGAAAAACTTGCAACCATCGTCGACAAAATTGGTAAGGGTTTTTCTCAAACAATTATAATTTAACCTAGGCCCTGACGTGCAACTGGTTACAAAAATATTTGCATTTCTGTATATGAGGAAAAGCATGTTGAGAAATAAGGCAAAATATCCATGTTCACAAATGTAGGTACCTATAGTGATATGTCCAAGTTAAGGAGTGCAAATGTGAATTAACATGACCATATTCTAGAATACAGATTTGTTTTATTTCAAATGTTCTTGACCTGATATTCAAAGGAATTAACTTCAGTTTCAAGTAAATTTTCATCACCATTAATTATAAATTTATTTAATTTCATACTCCTAATAAAAATTAGAATTGTCTTGATTTAACTGATATATTTATCACTGTAAGATGACAAGATTGCCATAGTAATCAATTAGCATAAAAAGACAAAAATGTTTTACTTGTGTACAGATGGTGACAAAAATTTGCCGAACATTCAGCCGCTCTTCATCACCGTGGATCCCCTGAGGGACTCCGTGGAGGCTGTCAAGGCTTATGTTGCTGAGTTTCATCCTAAACTGCTTGGCCTCACGGGCTCTGTAGATCAAATTGCTGAAGCATGCAAGAACTACAGAGTGTATTTCAGTGCAGGGCCCAAAGATGAGGATGAGGATTACATTGTGAGTAGCCTTTCATCGTCTCATTTGTATTGACAAAAATTTCACGTTGGCTTTCCTTCCTTATGTTGAATATATCTTCATGAAATTCTTCTCATTCTCATTTTTATCTCATGAGTAGTCACTTCAATAAATAACAAATACAAATAAAGGTTAGGTTCTAGAATGCCATAATATCTATTCAAACCAGTAGTATATTTTGTTTTCTAGGTGGACCACACAATCATCATCTACCTGGTTGACCCAAAAGGTCATTTTGTTGATTACTATGGACAAAACAAAGATGCCCAACAAATAGTTGATGGAATTTCTCTTAATATAAGGAAATTTGAGTTAGCGAAATAGATTTTCAAGTTGCCCCATCGTGTTCATGCTGTGGAGATTTTAGATGCCGAGAGGAACCTGCAACTTTTTTTACCCAATTTTGGTCAGCATTCGGCAACAGGCATAGAGGTTTGGTCAGTTATTTATCGAGACAAACCAAGCGCAAGTACGTATGAAAATTATGCTGTCCAGGGTTGAGAATCATTCATTCCCTTGAATACGAAGTTGCAATATATTTAGCGCCTTGAGGTATTTGTCATAAATTCGCCAGTTTGCAAGACACAATTGCTTGTGACTTTCAATACGATTCCACGACGTAGAAGAGCCCAGTTAAGAAATATAGATAGCGCGATCACTGTCAATTTTTCTACTGACGTCGACAGAACCGCAAAGGCCTCTAAGAACCGTAACAGGATAATCATGTCACGGGCTTCTTCTTGTTTATATGTATTATTGTAACATAATAACAAAATAAACTACTACCCTCACAATACTATTCGTTACTCAATGGCCTATTTGTATCCATGAATGTTATGCTACATATTGCTGATATCGCAGGCAGCGAGTAAGAAACTCTCCTGCCAGTTGGTTGAGCCAGTAAATCTTGTCATCAAATATAGCGAGGTGAGTAAGAAAAAAGTAAGGACGATGATTTGACATCGTCACTTTTGAAATGCCAGTTGAGTAATCATTAAATCATATACACTGTCAGTTGGTGAACGCGAACTCGGTTTCCTGATGTTTAAATAAAATCTTGCGGAAGAACAAAAGCAACTGGATTATATGGAAGTTACCTCCAAGTCTTAAGAATATAAGGGCGACATGCCCACTTGTTAATCTCACAGCCTTTCTCACAAGTCAAACTTAGACGGATTAAAGAACAGCACAAGTATTACATCCACAAAAGAACAACACAACAAACATAACTATTCAAGGAGTTCTTGTGCTCATTAAGTCACTTCCATACTTGGCTATACTACGCTTAAAGTAACAACTCGACACATTAAACACAAGAGAACTAGAGCTGTGGCGCGGGATGTTGCGCGATCTGTTGGCTGTCGAGCGCGTGCTGCGCGGCGCTCGCCTCGAGCCCTGCGATGAACGCCTCGAGCGTGTGCGGGGGCCGGCGTAGACGCTGCACGTACGTCAGGAAAGGCAGCTTGCGGAGGCTGCGACCGCTCAGTCCCACGCTTTTCCTGTCGTGAATTAAAAATTCAGCTTCCGGACAATCGAAACAATCTTCCTTAACTCTCGGGTAATAGTAACCCTTGTAACTGCCACCAGTCATCTAAATTGCAAAATAATTTTCGATATATGAAGCTGAAATTAGACGCATTTCAAGTTTTCTACAATTTTTCCCACCGAAATCTCAAAGAAATTAATTAACTTCTTTGTACAATTATCTGAAACTTCGTTAATTATACAAGTATGTCTCTGAACTGGAGTGGGACGATTGTTGAAAGAGTTGCGCAAGTGAATAATTTTTTAGACATCACATCTCCGCAAGAAGTATTGGAGGCGACAGAAGGACAACTCACCCGGCAACTTGCCAGAGCAGGATGGAGGGTTGGTTGAGTTTGTCCTCGCCGTGCCGGACCGTGAGCTGCAGCTGATCAGACACGCAGTCTGTGAGCTGCAGCTCCCGTAACGTCATCAGCGGCCGCGACACGCTCACCAGGCCTCCCTGTGAGAAAACACCCAGTCAAATAAAATAATATTTACACATTATAATTAATCCAAAAACTCGAACAAACTTGTTTAATGACTTCATTATTTAGAAACTTGTTTATAATTTTACATTAGCTATGTTTTAGATGATTAAATAATTTCATCGCGCCGATTGAAATGTAACTCAATTTCATTGTAACTCGCTGGGAAATAATGACGATCATTTGTTAGCTTAAATTGTAAATCAGCCAAGAGTTTAAAATTTAAATGAATACCAAGAAAATATTATAAGAAAATATTTCAAGAAAATAATGGGAAAAACCGGTGTCATATTTCATGGAACAGGTTTTTGGAAATTATAAAGCTTTTCTCCAAAACATTTCAAATTAAAACATGGTGAAGTTTCCTTGCATTTTCTCCGTTTTTAAATTCTTAAATAGAATGTTGTCGAAGCATTTGAATTCAGGATTGCCTGAAGATCATCAAGATAACATCCACCTTCACTAGCACCGCAAAAACAATCATTCCAGACGCTCCGGGGAGTTCACAGCGACCTGCCTCTTGCCAGCTGGCGACCAACGAGCACCACTATGGAGCCAACAAAACTTGCACTCCAGGCACTCTCATCTCCTACTTCCCTATATCAGCACAACACCATGGCAACAATTCACTTTATACTAGGCAACCCATCAAAAAAATCGTCCTGTTATGCAGGTGCAAACAAACTTTTTCCGGAGAACTTTGACTTTAATCAGAGAGGCGTATCGTGCCCGCCATCAATACACACGCGATAATGCAGCACTTGACAAAACCATAAGCACCTCACATGACTCACTACCGGCACCACAATAACAGCATTCGGTAATGTTACTAAGTTTGATGAAATGAAATTAATAGAAGAATTTCGCTGGACAGAAAAAATTTTCCCACTCGCACTTACGCTTCAACACAGCCAGCTACTGAGATAAGCGCACTCGGGACCGTAAAATAATACTCATTTAACATATACATAACACGAGTACATATAACATCTGTGACAATTGCCGCCAAGCCTATACGTTTCTGACATACACAGAGAAGAAAAACCGCAGAGCGACAAAACGGAACTGATTTCTTTCATATTTGGTCGCACTTGCTTACTTTTTTTACGTACGATTCTTAATTAAAATTATTTAAAAAAATTCTAAAAGAACAGAAAGTTTGAAACCTAGCTAACAATAAATGACCCTGCGTTGCGTACATTACAATCAGTAAACTCGTTAAGTAAAATATTGTCCGTGATTTAATAACGTACGTCTTTAATTTTCGGCGATGTAACAATGAACATAATTAATTGTCCACGATTTAATAACGTACATCTTTAATCTGTTCAAACTGGAGTTGGAATGCTCGTGCAGTCCGGTAACAGCTCGAACTTTCCTGCCCACTGTGGTCTCCTCTGCCCCCCCCCCACTGTGACCTCTGGTCTTCACTACCCCTCCCCTCCCCCCACAGTCCTTACCCTTTCCAGCTCTTTGATGCAGGAGAAATATATTTGATAGATGGCGGCCTGAGAAGGCAGGCCGATGTATCGCTTGATGTCTGCTCTGTCAACGAATGCCAGGTCAATGGTGCCAGATACGTTAGATGTCGTCAGTATGAGCACGTTGCTGTTCCTGTAGAGGCCATTATTAATTATTAGCACGCACTCCACGCAATATTATTTATTAGCTCGCACTCCACGCAATATTATTTATTAGCACGCACTCCATGCAATATTATTTATTAGCACGCACTCCATGCAATATTATTTATTAGCACGCACTCCATGCAATATTATTTATTAGCACGTACTCCATGTACGATAAGTGCACAGATTCCACTTTCAATGACTCTAAAATCATTCTGAAGAAATTTACAATCATTAAAGAGTAGGGTTTGGGTTCTGGAAACAATAAGTGAAACTGACCAAAAGATTTGAAACCAATGTGACATTCTGTTATAGACTTCAACACAAAGACTGTTCCTGCCACTGAACTAAATTAATCATCACTATTAGTCAGGAGTAAAGATCAGCGTCTTCACTGAACAGCTTCATGGTAACGCTAAACATTCATGGTAACGCATTCATTCATGGTAACGAGATTCATCTAGAATCATGAAGACTTTGAAATATGATTTAATTCATTTTTCTTGCTAACTACATTTTACTTTTGCAAAATTTCTCACGTAAGCAGGAAAAGCAAACATTCATTTCATAATTGATTGAATTAATTTAGGCAAAACTACATAAATCTTCTTAACAATAAACATCCAAGTTTATTGGTGTAGCTAGGCAGAAGTTCTTAATTTATACAGGTTTGATCGAAGACCAGAGTTTGCTTTTCAGAACAATTTTCTTATTGTTTTTATTGTTTCAATAAGCCGGACAAAATACAATACCTTATATATGTCGTTTTATATGTATATAAAAGTTATTGTGTTTTATATATGTACCTTTTATATGTCAATACCTTATGTCATTTTCAAATTTCAAGTGTCGCATAACACTTCACTTACTTGAGACTGAATACTGAATATTGGTAATGTCATATTCCAGTAAGATTTCATTTGGTGATATGTTTTTCTATTTCCCAACAACAGCAGAAATGTTGTTCGGCTTATTGAAAAAGAAACAATAAGATAATTGTTAATTAAAAAGCATGCTCTGTTCTTCAATCAAAACTGCATAAATATTCACGTTTATACACAAAGATATGAACAGTCAAGTCTAGCTCGGAATATGAACGATTAAAGCCAGTACAAATTCCGGATCTGTCAACTGACCTTACCTGTTCAAAATCTCAAATATTGAGCAAAAAAGGTCCCTAACGTTAAAAAGCTAAGCAATGTAACGAATATTCAGCAAATAAGAAATATCTTCCACAAATAAGCGTGAGGTGACCTCTTGATATGGTCGAGCTGCGTGAGCAGAGCGTTGACAACCCTCACGGCGTCGCCAGGCTCGCTCGACGCCGACTCTGAGCAGCGCGACCTGGCGAGACTCTCCACCTCATCAACCAGCACGCACACTAGACAGCTGGGGTCGTCTGCCATCTCCTGCAGGCGGCTGAACAGCCTCTGCACCAGCTTGCCACTCTGTCACCACAAAATATATTTAGTTATGGCACCCAGTGTTGAAGTGAAAACTTAATGCACCAGCTTTCCAATTTGTGGACATCGAACACTAACTGTCATTGCATGCAATGCAGTATATGTACAGCAGTGAGGTAAAATCTGTACACGAAACAGATGCTGCATCCAGTGTCCACTCTGTGGACACCAAACATTTGCCATCAAGGTGCTCAGCGTTGGAGAATATAAAGGATTGTAGCCAGCACAAATTCGGGATGTGTCAACCAACCTTAACTGTTCAAAAACTAAAATATTGATTAAAAAAAAGGGCCGATTAATACCCTAACGAAGAAATTGCATAGAATATTTCACAATAACCGTGTGGTAAGCAGGAAAAGTGACCAGCGAGCAATGTTCCGGAAGGTAATGATGCACTAAGCTTGGCAAGTTAAATCAGATTCAAATCAATAACAGACCTGTGTAAGAAAGTTGGTATCCACAATACCTGACTTGAATACGGTGTACTCATGAGGACCTACTTTTCACAAAATACCATAGGTATGTAGGTGAGGCAAAGATTCGTTTCGTTATTTCTGCTTTTTCAATAACTTTTAAATCCTATTAAACACATGATATATTGAGCTCAAACCCCTGTGACAAATCATCTGCATGGAAAATAGGTTCCACAGTGAACATGTCAAAAGATATTTAGATTATAGAATCAGCAAGCGAGACGTAATGAGCTTGTCAAGAGATTAGAGAGCTTGTCAAGAGAGACGTAATGCTTGTCATGAGAGACAATTCTCAAGAGAACATAGCTGGTTTTTGAGAGCTGCAGTTTTAAACTTTGATTATAACCACTCTTGCTTGCATGCTTACCTCGGAGAACCATTTGGAGAAGAGCGAGTGCGAGTTTATCTCTATTAGCTGGGCATACGAGTATCGGTGTCCCAGCCTGATGCTTAGTTGATGGGCTAGCGCACGGCACAGCGACGTCTTTCCTGCACAGCATGAAGACATTACACGAGCAACATAAGAGACATTAACTACAGTAGCGACATATAATGGTTGAACATTCTCATTCCAAAAACTGCTAGTACCATAGAATTCAATCAAAGATGCCATTTATAGTATGTATTACCAGTTCCTGGAGGTCCATGCAACAGCACAACTCTGTTCCAGGAGATGATGTTTGGGTTGATGCCACAGTCCGAGAACATCAGAGCGGTGCTCACATAGCTCAAAAGCTGCGGAAGGTGATAACAATCAGGACAACAATCTAAAAATACTGAGATAATTCTCTTCAATTATTTCGTCATTGCTGATGGCAAAAAAGATTATGTAAACAAATGGTTAAGCAGTCTGATGTTAAGAGCTGTTTCCATGAAACACTGAGCTCAGAGACATTGAGTCAATATCTTGTGTATTGTAATTTCTTTCTCCTGATAGAAAAAGGACTTTACAGTTCTTCAATACTAAATTTGAAGTAAAAGAAGTAGTTTAATAAACCAGCTTCAATCCTAGTTAAAGACAAACTTATAAATGCACAGAAAAAAAGCGTTCACTGGATGAAGCAATTTAAATAAATTCATAATAAATGGGATGGAAATTGCGTACATACCAATATCAGTAGGTAGAAAAGTGAGCTCATCATCACAGTCTGTATAAACAGCATTAATCACAGGTTACTGACCATTTACCCACAATCTTATTTCAAATCTTGGCCATGAAAAATTTTATCACTGGCCCCGATAAAAAACCTATTCATTGACCATGCACTTCTTGACCAAAACCTGGGACTTGACCTAGTGTCATGATGGGAGATATTTCTTTGGAGTATATAGTTGATTTAGATTTTTTAAATACTTTCCAGAACCTGGGTGCACATCTTCAATGATCAACACAAAACTATCAGTACTCTATAAATTCTATTACACAGTTCTCAAAACTCTGCAAAGGGCACATGCAAGCAATGTAATCACTGTGAAACCAATCTAAAACCAAAACCCATGGTTTTAAAACCATGGAATAAGGGTTTTTCAGGCTTTTAAAACCAAAAATGAAATGAAAGATAACTTGAATAGAATTAATAGATTTGAATTTGTTCCAATTGTTTGTCTTGGAAATATGTGATAGTCTTAAAGAAGTAAAATTGAAATACACTTATTATGTCTTCCATGGGTGTAAAAACTATAAGCAGGATTTTTATTTTTCTTTATAGGAATATCACAATGAACAAATTTTTCTTATTAGGATCAATGTCCCTTGGATCAGATACAGAAGCAGTAGGTATTCTCAAAGAATTTAATTGCACATTTTTGTTGTTGTCTTTTGGGTAAGATTTCAGAATATTCATCAATATTGCCATTGCCATTGAAAAATAAATTCCTGTTAACAGAGATACTTTTTTGTTGAGGGATTTCAAATTATTATTTTTTTTTTGCAATTTGATCTTACTGCAATCAGTTCTTGAATTAATTTTTTGTCAAGATTTGCTAATTCTGTCATTTCCTGATTTACCTTTCCATCAATAGTTTCTACTATTGATTTTACTGCAGGCAATTCTTTCTCAAGGAAGTTGATATGCACCATGACACCCTTTCTAACTACATCTATTTTTTTATTGATATTGCAGACTCCTTTACATGAAAATCCATGATTATAGTGACTTGCTTGTAAACATAACTTCTACATGTAGCATCCCTTTCCTGAATGGGACAAGAGAAATTTGAAAGTTTCTGATTATTCACATCAAAATTTATTTCAGCATCAAGGTATCAAAACCCCAATATCTGGAGAACCTCTCAGCTGTGATATGGGTGTGTTATAAATTCTTATTCCAGACATGTCAACACGTCATTTTAATGAAGAAAAATTTCTAAAGCCTACAGACTCCCAAACTCATGAAACTGTAAGACTGTTAATACAATCAGTTAATATTTTGTTCAGTACTATGTTATTATCAGTTTCATTCTGTAGCATCAATTTAAGTTGATTAATTTCATTCTGATTTCGTTCTTCTGAAAATTATGCAGTATGGTTTTAATATCCTACATCTCATTAATAATATCTTCCATTTCTGTCATCAAATCTGACTCCATACATCCTTGGTACCGTAACTTTATGATTTGTTCTGTTATACTAGTAAATTTCACAATTTAATTGAAGCTAAATATGGCTGCAAGCTTTTGAATTTCTGATCAACTTCAACAAAAGATATTTTCCATCAATTTGTAACTTGGAGTTATGAATCCACAATTCTGGAGTTTTAAGCTTCTCATTCACTAAATCTTCACACACCAACTATACTCAATGGATCTTCACATCAGTTTTTCTTCAATATCCCTTTCTATATTCTTTACTTTATCATTGTGCACTAACTGCAAACTGCTAATTTTCTCATCAAATTATTCAAGTAGTTTTTCTTCAGAAGAATCGATCTTTGATTTTTCTCATTTCAAATTTCAAACCTAAATCAGGATTAGGAAACTCAACCTGCAAGTCTGCACTCAGGGCTCATTTTGAAAAGTTTCAGTTGAACTTTTCAGAGACTCTAAGGGAAATGCTTCAATTGGACACTTCATTTCTTCCTCACTATTTCTGCAAGTCGATGAAAGATTGTGGAGAAACCTAGGTAGTGACACAAGCAGGTGACATAAAGGTATGACTTATATCCTAGATGAGCCTTGGCATTAGATACAGTCCCGCAGGCTGATTCATACCTGAACACTCACTGAACATTTGTGAATGTAGCTCTGATGCAGTTGTTGCGTGCCTACTTGAAGTTACAATGCTCACCTTTGAACATTGCATCAAATCTTACATGTGATAACATTCCATTCTCTTTCACACATACTCAAGTGTATCATGTAGCAATGATGGTAGTTCTGTATTTATGCAATATGTGTGGGGCTTGCTCCAATTCCCATGTTCTTGGTTAAAAAAGTGCCTGCTCAATCAGAGGTAAATGTTCAGGTTTTTGTTGGGGAACAGTGATCAAATTTTTGATGGCCAAGATCCAAAATAAAATAAAATATTGATTGTGGGTGAATAGTCAGTAACCTGTGATTGAATCTGTTAAGGCAAACTGTGAGGATGAGCTTGCTTTTCTACCTACTCATGTCAGCGACAATACATCTTTTATCTCATTGTTTGATCAGGTAGGAAATGAAGATAATCAATACAGTAATTCATCTCATTCACATTTCTCAACAGCTTTTCCAAGGTGCAGACAAAGGCTTCATATAGAATATTATCCTCATTAATAGAATATTATCTTCATGGTGTATTGTTGATAAAAGTGGTAGTTAAAATATCTTGTATTTTGAAATGAGTAGATTAATTCTTGATGAATAGCAACTTTGGATAAATTACAAAGCTATAGCAAATGTCAATAAATACCTCATTCTTAATGTCAGAGTCGAAGATGAGGTTGTCCCATAAGTTATGGAAGTCAGTGGAGGGCAGGAGCCACTGAGTTGCAGCTGGGATGGGTTCCTGGTGGTCATCTTCTGTGCCAGGAAGTTCCTCAGTGTCCGGGCCCGAGTCCTCTAGGCTGTAGGTGTGGAACTGAAGCTCTGCTTTGCTGCAGTTGACATGCTGATGAGACAAACACAGTCAATGCTGGCTCATATACAGTGAAATGTTGTTATGAAAATGCTCCTAGTCACTACGATTTTTAAATAATCTGAAGAAAAGTAAGAATTACCTACCTCTATTTGCAACAAGACAAGCAGAGTTAAAGCTAACTTTTTCTCATATCTCTCAATCATATCGACTCAATTAAATGACAACCATTGTTAATCAATAAATACACACAGGTTAACCCATTAATGCCAAGCGGTTCCATTTGAAACCAGTGGAGAAAACTGGATTCATAATAAATTTGTGTGATCAAATAAATATACAAGTGGATGCATAGTTTTGATAAACAACTTGTACATGTTCTGGCATCATTTGTATCTGCTGTGCCAACTACTCCCTGTTCAGTTAACATTCAAAGATTACTAGAACCAGGTGTCAGACTGAACGGCTTGATATCATAGCAGAGAAAGGTGAGAAGTTTGTTCTGAAAATAACTATATATTATTTATACCTTACATGCGAAATTTTATGGATGAAGTGAGTATACTTTTAATGCTGTATTATGGTATCATGTGATATAGTAATGTTTCTAAACTCATTTAGATCATAAAATATTTAGCCCAGTTCTAAATGGAGCCAAGCTATAATTTTTCACATACAATGAAAAATAAATATTTGAACATGTTTTTATTTATTGCCATCACAGGTGATAATATTCCCACAGGAAGCCCAAAATATTTCAGAAAGTAATTCTTGGCATTAATGGGTTAAAAGAGATTTCAAGAATAAAGGAGCACTGTTTGATCGTAATCTGAGAACTTCAATCAACATTTTGGCAAAGTTTAGATCATATTAAAAGCAGCTTGTTTCAATAAATATTTGACAACTTGTCAAACCATGCACCAAATTGATGTATTTTATATAAATATATTGTTCCCAAAACATTATAGGAGACATTGACTACTAACATGAGAAATGTAATAACCTTGTAGTCGTTGAAAGTGGTATCATCTTTGATAATGCGGACAGAAATAATGTGACACCGCAGCTCCACAGGCAGGACCTCTTCTGTCAGTGTCGCATCAGTCACGACGTTGCCATCCCTCGTCAGGTGATGCAACAAGGCATTCTCTAGGTCAGCATTTGATGCTGAACTGCACAACACATCAAATGATTCAAAAACATTTCTAGATCTAGTCTAATATATTTATATCCTAAATTCATCAAATCAAGTACAAAATCAACCATGCACCATCTACATAGATACAATCTAAAGGTTTTAATCAATTTAAATTATGTTCATCAACATAATTTCCTCATTGAGGACTTATAACTTGACTTTCAACATTGGCAGCTCATAAATTGTGGTTAGAAGATATCTCAATTCTCAAGTGATCAATTTCATAAGACTATGTTCCCTTGATGGAAATAACCTCAGTAGCAATCTTTTCAAACCTGATGGTATTCACTTTATTAGCTAAGTAACTTAGTGTCACCATAATTTCAAAATTAAGAGAGAACTTCAATGAAAACTTGATAAATAATTTGCAGCCTACGCTAATATTGCCAACCTCCCATGCATGCTCAGCAAGATGAACGAGAGTTTGATACAAACCTGAAGACTATTTAGCCAAGATACTTAGACTTTCTGTCCAGCATTTCAAAAATGCTCAATTTCTATAAACAAAATTAGTCAGTAATTGAACATGCACCTTACCTTTGTCTTTTCTTGAGAATTTCCACATGAATAACTTCTTTAGCATCAATGTCTGTGCTTGGAGAAGACGAGCCAAATCCATTCATCATCATGTTTAGATCTTAGTCTTTGTAATTTGCACAGATGTTTATTTATTGTAAAGATTGCTATTGCCCCACAAACTCTTTTCAGAAATTTAAATGCATTTAAATTTCTGTAACAGAGACTGAAACAGAAGAGGACAAAGACATTGAGGTGAAGTAAAGGCAAGGCCAGAGGCAAATAACATGGATAAATAAGCACAGATAGGCTGTGCTACACAAGCCACAAAAGCTTCCCGGCAACAGTGTCACTAAGTTATCTATTTATTTATATATTTTACAAAGAGCTAGTTAGGATGTCTTGTATCTGGTCCAAAATAACTTCAAGGGCACATTACATACTGAGGGAACTGTGAGTAAGTTTGAAGGTGAACAAAAATATGACACTAAAGAGAATGAGAATGGATGAAAACAGCAGTGTTCAATATTCAAAGACTCTACAAAACAGTTCTGCATTTAAGCAACAACCAAATACCAGCAACAAAGTACCTATCTGAGCAAGAAACTGGCAGACTGTTCCAGGTTTTAGCAGAAACCAGTTGGAATACTAATCACATAAGTGGACAGGTATGTGGCTGGTATGATGAGATCCGCCATTGATGAGAAACCTGTTGCTTTCCATTATGCAGATATAGAACATCCTGCAAAATGCCTGGAAGACAGGGAAGTGCCAGATAATGAAGGCAGCAGAAAGCCAAAACCAACACCTCCATTAAAATGCAAATTCAAAGCAGTGCATAGCTAGTGAAGATCACATAAAATCAGTGATATGTGGTCACATTTTTGCTTGGCACACAAGTCATATGGCAACAATCATTCTTTGAAGGCCAGCAAAGGTACCTAGAGAGCAGGGTTGGCAATTTTTATTATTTTTTTTAAATCAAAAATCAATGATTTTTTTGATTTTTTCATGATTTATTTGATTTATTTGATTTTTTCAGCTTTTTGTCTTTTTTGAGGTGTTATTTTTTATGTTGCAATTAGCCTACTAACAATAACAGTATATG